TTTCTTTATTATTATTATTATTATTATTATTATTATTATTATTATTATAATTATTACTATTATTATAACTGAAATTATTTTCACTATCATCTTGGTCGTGATCATCAACTGCTATCATTGGTTTGTTGTCGCTGTCATTACATTACTTATAGTTTCGTTAAGCAACTGGAAAAGGATTAAAGTTACTTACACATCACTTTTTGACGTAAATATCTGCTTGTAAAGTGACTCAGGCGCCATCCATTTGATTGGTAGCTTTGAATGCTTTTTTACCTCATACAGTTCGTGGTACATTTCTCGCATTAGACCAAAATCCGCGATCTTGAGCCGTTTACCGTGTCCGACTAAAATGTTTCGCGCCGCTAGATCTCTATGGACGAGCCCCTTTCCGGAGAGGTAGGCCTAACCAATGGGATAGTAAAAATAATTTGTTGATTTCTCGAAGGGGAGGAGACCCTTCTCGGGAATATGCATGAAATTGAGAACCTTAATAGAACAATGTTTCCTATGCAGAATTTCCTCAACAACACTGAGTTTCGATAATCTTCCTCATCAAAGAAGTTTGTCTGTTTTTTAATTTGGTCTTAGAATTACTGATTAGTACCCAAATGAAGTGTCAAGGCTAAATTATTAAAGCCAAAGAACATTGGACAAGCACTTTAGTCTCGGGACATCTGTGTAAACATTTATACCTTACCATGCCTTTTGCAATCTGCCAAGCTAAGGAAAGGAGATCAGCTGGAACAAATGACTCGCAATCATCACTGCACTCCTCGTCTTTCTTCTCCGTCAAAATGTCACCCCCTGGAAGCTCAATAGAGAAAACCACCTGAGGAGTTTCAGCTTCAGTAGCTTGCAATGTGTCATCAGGGGAAGGGACAGAGTTGCATGCCTCCAGTTTGTTCTCGTCACTTACGTCACGGACCTGATCGAAGAAGAGGGTTCTTAAAATTAGATTATGGAACACCATAATGGAACGCAATATTCAATTACTTGAAACGTCTTTTAATTTCGGGTGAATACCTCTCACAGAGAGAGAAAAATCCTTCAACTCACAATATTACAACTTAATTACAAGAAAGTAACCTTTGATTATCCTCAAGGACGAGTTCGTCAAAACTCAAAAGCGCAGTATGTTTAGATCTGCTTTAGTTTTTCTATCCTTATTCTTTTAGATTTTTATTCAATCGCTATCCTTTCATAAAACGTTTTAGAATTACAGTGTTTTTTACCGTTCTCCCCTGGACGCTTATTCTATCTCTAGAGTTATATTGTTTTTTCCGTTCTCCTCTGTCGGTGGACGCTTATTCTTTGTTTGTTCTAAGCTC